GGTCTGACACCCAAAAAAAAAAAATGGGCGTGTAGGGCTTTTTCAGCCCTACACGCCCATTTTTTTTTTATTTTTTTTTTTTACGTGAAAAAAAAATAATGTACCGAACTCGGTTGGTCGGCATAGGCCGAACCGGACCGAGTCGGTCATCGGCCTAGACCGCGGCCGATTCGGACCCCCCGGCCGCGGCCGGGCGTGCAACATAGGCCTTCTGCAGTGAACTTGCTTCGGGTAATACCTGACATACCACCACAGTAGCCCCAGCCTAGGTGATAAGTTGTGTGTTACTAGTAGCAATTTAGTTCAGATCATACATGACCTCCCGTCCGTACGCAACAAGCTAAGCCACTGAAAACTGCTTCCACTCATATGCAACATGAAAACCTACCAGACGTGTCTCTTATTCATATACTGGCAGAGTAGGCCGCTGAACGAAGATGAATACTTGCTACTACATAAAACTAACTCAGATGCTAGGAGGAAATGAGTAACTTTATTGAGCATATCTTTGAACGCTAAGTTGCCAACACTAGGTTCGAGGCTACAAGTTAACATGCCTCCCAATGGAGGAGCCGGGGACGATCTTAGAACAAGCCCGTGGCTGAAATGAATGATATCTTTCGGGTTTTCAAGGTTTTTGAAATTATTTAGAATGGCGAAAGACCAAAGGTTCCTCTGCAGTCCTAGCTTGTCTCAGAATTCGACAGAGTGAACACATGCTTTTGTTAATATGATCCCAGCCTATTTGCAACAAAGGTTGCTAACACAAATCATGCTCGCTCACGAGAAGGAGGCGCATCATACTTTATATTGTCCAGAGCTAGCAAGTATTCATCTTCGACCGAGTTTTTTCGGCCTCGGCCTCGACCGATCTGGGGTGCGGTTTCCGAAACGGGGAGTGGGTTTGAGGTGGGGGGGTGGGGGGGCACCCCCTCACAGTGGCAGAGGGTCAAAAAAATAAAAAACGGGGGGTCATGCACATGGCCCTGGGAGGGTGGGACGCGAAAATTCATGCGTCCCCCGCGTGCAGGTTCGTCGATGCGGGGTCGCAGGAAAGAGGGTCTGGAACACTAGAAAAAAAAAATAAAAAAAATTGACCCCTGCGGGGACGGCCCAACGGGAGTTGGATGAGGGCGTGGTTGGGGCGGCCCGTGCGGCTAGGTTAGGTTGAAGCTGGACGGGGCTGCAGATGGCAGACCCCAGGCAGATGAGGGCCTCAGGCAGACGTTGATTTCATTCATGAGGGTGATGACAGTTCGTGACATGTTTTGAAACAACACATTCATGGCAATCATAGGTCAGACCTTGGTTGGCATACCAAAGTCACAACACATTCACAATCAATCACAGTGCGGCTAACCATAAGTTTCAAACAATGTTAACAAGCAAGTGTGTCATAGACTCATTGTGTGTGTTCACTCATCAGACTGGTGGAAGTTTGTGTAAGAACACATTCATTAGCACATCATCCCTATTTGGCATCCGAAATTAATAGCACATTCATAATGGAGGCATCCATGACATGCAGGTGCGTGGCATCGGAGAAGCACATAATTTGCAACAATCACGACAACAAACCACAAACCACTCACCAAACAACAGTGACTCAGATGCAAGACCAATGTTGGTAGAGGAACACGAACAAGAGCAAATATATGACAAAGCATTTCAATGGAAATGCGTATGTACAAGGCTGAAGCCAAAAACTGGACCCGTCGTCTCTACTGTACAACCGAGTAGCTAAAAAAAATTGGACCCTACTGACAAAGCATTTTAATGGAAATGCGTATGTACAAGGCTGAAGCCAAAATCTGGACCCGTCGTCTCTACTGTACAACCGAGTAGCAAAACAAAAAAAAAAAACTCTAATGTCCACATATTGTCGTCGTCTCCATGGAACAACATCGACATAAATATGCAACAACCCTGCCGACAGAGTGTCCAGGCTGTACAGCCACACAAAAAACAAAAAAAACTAATGAGAAAAAAAAAATACCACGGAAGTCGTCATCTCTTTCTAGAGCGCGCGCAGCCTCTCCCAGAGGACGGGCAGCCATGCGGTCCTCCCCGTCGCCCTCCTCTCCCTCCGGCACCCGTGCCCCGTGCTCCGCTGAGGTATGCCGCCTGTGCTGCAACGGATGTCGCGGCCACCTGTGCCCTGTGTTTGCGAGCCGCAGTCTCGATCGGCTCGGACTCTGTGTCTGCGTCCTCGTCCTCCATCGCCCGTGCAGCAATCCACATCACTCTCTCCCTCTGAATCGCGTCCAATGCTGCCTGGCCAACGGCGACCCCTGCCGCGAGTCGAGCCTCAACCTCCGAGAGGCCACACTGTCGTCTCGTCCCGGGACGCATGAACAACCCCTCCTCGCCCGATGTGAACTGCTCTCCCCGCAGCATGTCCGTGGATGTCCCTGTGGCCTTGAGGACCAATGATCTCCTCGTCTCCGCTCGTGACAAACCGAGCATGCGGCCTGCCATCCGCAGGCTCGGACGTCCGGACCCACCCTCCACAGCATGCGTCTGAACTGGCGTACGTCCCGTGAAGACGCCCCTCCCGGCGTCGTAATCCGCCCATAACCGGTCCCCGACCCGACGAACAGCTGACCATCCGCCACCCACACCACCTCGGACTGTCGGCAGGGAACCGCCACTGTGCGCAACTCCAGGTGCCGCCGTCTGGTCCCCGGCGTCGACCCCGGCCTCCGGAGTCCGTGCAGGCGGTGGAGACATCGATCCTGCACTGTCTCTGCCGCCGTCGCTGCGTTTGCCGGACCCCACCTCACCCGCTCCCGACTCCCTCCCTCTCACGCCGCTGAGCGACGAACCCGACCAGTGAGGGCTCTCCACCACGAACGGCAACGGTGAATATACCCTCCCAGGGGCCCGCCTCTTGCCGCTCTTGCGGCTCATGTGTGCGAAAGGGTCATCCATCAACACTTGCGCCAAAGCGTCGACGTCGAAAAAAGTGTGCGCTGTGTCGTCAGGGCGCAAGGGAGGTACTGTGGGGTCCCTCAACACCAAGGCGAGCCTATACGCATCGTCCTCGGGACCGTGGTCGTCGTCATCATCTCCGTCTGGTCCATCGTCTCCCCCGACACCCGCGGTATCCCCATCTCCACCGCGTCCACCCTCTCCTCTGCCACACACGGCGGCACCCTGTCCCTCATCACCCGTGGTCTCGCTGTCGCCACGGCCCCCACTAGCGGACCCACCGCCCACGACAACATCCTGCCCCTCATCACCCGCGGTCTCCCCGTTGTTGCGTCGTCCACCACCTGACCCACCACCCGCGGCGGCATCCTGTCCCTCATCATTGAACTCCCCCTGAACTGCCTCCTCAGGGACACCCGAGTCGTCGATGTCACGGCCTCCCCCCCCCTCCTATCTCCAACTCCCTCCGCCGACGCTGCTTGTCAAGATACGCGAACCGACCCTCCCATCGTGGCAAACTCCCCAGCCGCTCCTCCTCCTCTCGGTCCAAACGGGCATCCCTCTCCTCCTCAGTCTCAACAGGGCCCCTCACAACGTCCGCGTCGGTGCGCACCTCCGACGGTAAGGCATGCCAACGTCCCTCGACACTGAAATCTCCCAAGCTCCCACCAAGCCCTCCGACGTCAAACTCGTGTGTGCGGAGCACCGACGGCGAGTGGGGGCGGATACCGGCGTCGGAAGGAGTCCTCTCCCACCCACGATCCGCACCGTCATGTGTCCAGTCTCTGCCTGCTGCCGACGCCGACCTCTTCGAACGCCTAAGTGCCTTAGGCTGTGCAGCGCTCCGATGATGGGAGGGAGAGAAGCGACGATCGTGAAGGGGCACCTCCTCCTCGGCCTCGCTGTCGCTCCTAACCTCCCAACGTCTGCCTGTCTGCCGAAGACCTCCTCGTGGCTACAGCTCCGCAGAGTCGTCGACGCCAACCTCCGCACGCGAACGTCCTCCATGACCACCAGTGGCTCTGCGGCTGCCACTCGCCTGTGCGGTCGACAACACATCAACAGTGATAACTAATGTGAATGAATCCACGCCGTCTCGTCCCCCACCGTAAGAGAAGTACACCCGCTCAGTCGTCGGGTCGCCACTCAGTGGTGTGTCATCATCGTCTGTCCACTTGTCGTCGATGTCGTCGTCTGCCGCATCAGCGTCCGCATCAGCGTCCGCATCATCCCCACCCCCTGGCCACGGTCGCAGCTCCGTCGCCCTCATGCCGAACACGTCCCGAACCGAATGGGCTCTGGACGGTCGGCTGTCATGGAAAGCGACAATCTGCCGCTGGATCTCCACCTCTAGAACACTACCAACAGGTCGCGCTCCCCACACCTCGGGCTCCACGTCTCCCTCCTCATCCTCGTCCTCCGCCGCTGTCCCCTCCCGACTGGTCCCCATAACCCATGGCAACACGTAACCCATGGCGCACGAAGCCAGTTTGAGATTGGTGGCAATCTCAACCAGCTGTGCAAGCTTGGCAAACCCAAGCTTGGCGCGCCTCGCCGTGTTGATGCGCTCGTGTTGCGCCCTGTTCCTCTCCGCTGGAGAGGCAGACGTCCACAAGTGCATGACACGGATGGCAATGGTGCGCAACTCCGGGTGGGCCCGTCCATGGTCAAACCACCACGTTGCACATCGCTCGGTCTCGCGGTTCCCCCTGCAATCGTCCGCCTCGGCATCGGAGGGGGACCGATCTCCCCAATCCCCTCGCCTCGAGTGGAAGGCCCTCATCTGGTCCCTCACGGTCCTGTACAGTCTGCCGACCGTATCGCCGCCGGTCTGCGCCAGGAGAAATCTGTCGCACTCCTCGACCACACGGGCGTCGTTGGCGGTCGTCCGTAACGACTCGTAATACGTGAGGGACCGTCGACAAGGGTTGAGGAGGTGGGCTGCGGCATGTGCGGGCTCCAGTATGTGGAGGTTGCGGATGACAACCTCACGCATGCACGCCTCGATCATGTCCTCTGGCACGTCGACCCTCCTCATCAACTGCAGCACATGCTGACTCCACTCGTAAACGACAGACATCATCATCCCCCCTCTATCCATCCTGCGCAACAGCTGGTGGACGGGCGACATGATAAGGAGGGCGTAATGGACACAACGCCAAAACTTCGCGTCCCGGATCTGCTGCTGCACCCACTGCGCCTGCGATACATGCCTGCGCTCCCACGGGATGCGTGCCCAAGCATCCCCGTGCAACATGCTCTTCAATGCGTCTCGTCGGCCTTTGAGACACGAGCATCAAGAAAACCGATGTGAACCGTGTCTTAACGGGCTCAACGAGCAGAACGCGAGGGCTCACCTTCCTAAACAGGGCGTGACTAGCACCGTGCGATTTAATAAATCGCACAAGCGCCCTAGCGCGGATGATGGTGTCCTTGACCCACCCCACTCGCGTCCCGATATCTGACAACATCAAGTTGCAGACATGGGTGGAGCAGGGGGGCCAAGTGATCCTCCTAATGTCTGGCTCGGGGTCAGTGGCGAATCTGCGCGCTGCCGCCGTATAGTTACTGGCGGAATCAGTGCAGAAGCCGATCACGTCCTTTGCAGGAAAGGACAAGATGATGGCCCGCCACCTACGGTACACGATGTCCGCGGTGTCTCGGACCGACCCGTCGCGTGCGACGGTGGCGTAGAGCAGGGCGCCGTCGGCGCCCCCTGCGAGGAAGTTCACGAGCAGCTTGCCGCTACGCGACTTCCTCCCGTCGGTGAGGATGGTGGCACCGTTGTGTCGGAAAACGACGCGCACCTCGCTCACCATCGTCGCCACCTTCGCCCTCTGCGAAGAAATACCGGCGCCCGTTGTAACCCGGAACGAGGGAAACCGGAACTGGACACTGCGAGGCACTCTCTCTGCCGTCTGCCGCACCCTCTGGAACTCCAGACCACGGAAGGCTTTGAATGGCAACCCCTTCACTTAGATCCACTGCAGCCACGCGTCTGTGAACTCGACCAACTTCTCCTTGGCGTACATCTCGTCAATCGTCGTCTGTCGAACCCTCTTCTCCCTGCCCGTGTCGTGCACCTCGATGTCAGCCTGCCCCACTGTCCTCTTCTCCCTCCTCGCGCGCTCCAACTCAGGTTGTGGTGCCCTCGGAACGGGACCCGCTTGACCCACGCCTCTCGACGTCATCATCACCTCCTCCCCTGGCAAGTCAGGCTCTCCGACTGCCTCATTTGCCTCGTCTCCCACCACCCCCTCCCTGGCCCCACCCTCGCAGCCCTCCTCCTCATCGAGGGCGTCCTGAATGTCGTCCCTCTCTCCGTCGTCCGTCCGCTGTGGCTGGCCACCCGCGGGCGCTCTCGTGTCCCGTATCCCCTCGTCCGCCATCCACCTCTGCACCCGCTGAGCAGTGGACGGGACGAATGTGTAGTCCGTGTCGTTCCAGAGTTTCGCGAGAACTCTCATCCCCCCAGCCTTGCAGTACTTCGACTGCGTGAAATGGCGCGCGGCCTTCGACGATCCCCCCTTGAACAGGTGGCCGCATAAGTTGCAACGCAACTTCCGGTCCCCATGCATCTTGGACTGGTCCCCGACGTACTACCCCGCCATGACGAAGTTCCAAACCAAGTTCCGCCACCTCAACTTTGTCATCTCCTTCTCGGACAGCGGGTTGAACTGGGCACCCCCAGACCCCCCCGCACCGTTGGTCCCTTCCCCCCCTGTCATCCCCCCCCCCCCCCACCCGCCTCTAACTAGTCGTTGCGATGATCGTCGATGTCGTCAGACGTTGCCGCACCGTCGATGCAGGCCCTGACATCCCCGCTGCCGCCACTGCCGCGTTC